TACTTCAGTATGCATTGCTACTTTCTTTAATACTACTTTCTATATTTCTTGGAAATTAAGTTTCAATAGTGTCTGATGTATTAAAAAAAAAAAATCTCTCTGGAAGCCACAAACATATAAACTAGAGTTTTATAGCCCTTTAAACATAGAAAATAGTTATCCAAAAAAGCCAAAACATTATTTAAAGGATAATGATTTGCGGGATAAAAGTGGGGGCGAAAATGGGAGCCGACAAGTGAAATTAATTAAATTACAAAATTACCCATTTAACCCACTTCACTTGTCGGCTCTCATTTTCGCCCCCACTTTCGTCCCGCAAATCATTATCCTTATTTAAAAGTTACCCTTAGCACAGCTTTAATTTTTGTTACATAAAATCTTGTCAGAAAGTAAGTCAAATAGACACATAAGCAATAGCCTAAATTGACTCTCACTACCATTATGGTCAATAGATGGATAATTAGTTACTGGTTTTTTTCCTGTAATTGAGAGGAAAAAGGGCAAATGGTTCCACTTTTTCCCTCACATTTGTTCTCACCTTTTAAGAAAAAAGCATTTTCTTTTAAATTTTTGCCCAAAAGAAAATAAAAATGGACATTAATGCGAAAGATAAAAGGTTAAAAAATTCTTTTTCTTTACCATGAATAAATTATCAAAATGCTTTTGCACTTTTGGGCCCTTCCCCCCATTAATAATTAATTTTATGTGGTGGATATACTTTGTACCATACAAAATATTTTAAAAAGTTTCATATTTAAAAAAATGTTTTACATATTATTTTTAATTTTTTTAAATTTTTTAAGGATATATTTAAAATTTTATTTTTTTAATTAATATTTTTAAACATTATGATTATTCATTTAAAAAATATAAATATTAACTAAATATAATTTTAATGATCTTAAAAAACAAACAAATTGGTGAGGGTTGTTATTTGTCACACCACCATGGTCTCGGTCAAAATAACGACAGTGAAACTGTTCACACTTCACACCCTTCGTTGTCCTCATGGTGGTGAAAAAGGTAAAAAGATCAATAGCCCAATGGCCCAACATAAAAATTATATAAAGTAACCAAGAGATGAAATCTTGGACCCGCTAGGTTAGATTAATGATCATAAACATGATATGATTTAAATTATATTAAATTATATAACACAGGTTATTTGATGAAAGGCTAATTTTTGAATCTAAAAACAATTCTCCCATCCGATGGTTGCAAATTCTAAATTATTATATATCAGTTAAATCATATGACAACGCTCAATATTCATATAAATTATATATATGTGTTTAAATATAAAAATAATTATTTTAAATATTATTAATTAATTTTATATTGAATATAAACTTTAAATTAAAATTCACACATCGAGTTTTCACAATACCTTAATAAGAGTATAAAATTTTAATCATTTAATTTTTAAAGAACTGAAAATAATTTTTAGAAAACAATAAGAACTTTTTCAAAAAAATAATTTCTGTATGCCGTCATAATGGAATCAATAAGGAATGTCTTCTACTCTCATAGGCATTCATAGTTTGCTGAAAAATAAATTGCAGCAGTCCATCTTAGGCAGCTTAAATTCAACAGTTACATACAGCGTTGGAACGCCAATTCTATATAATCTTATCATATCATCAATATTGATATATCCATGCATATATGTATCTTCTCACATCTTTTTTGGGTCTCCTATCTTCTCATAGCTATTGTGCAGCTGTAGGGGGAATCAATTATGGAGAAGGAAAAGAAAATGGGGCATATGTAGTTGGCACCTACTTGCTATTGGACCACAAGAAGCTTGGCTCATACTGACCCTTTAATATTCATCATGTTTCTTTATTTTGTTTTGGATTGGCATAGTTCTAGATGTCATCTCCAGAGAATGCAATGTAGACATTTTTGTCTCAATGTTAAGTACCAAATAAAAAAGAGATACCAATTTGAACTTACATAACTTTCTTGGTATATTGAGGATATATATATGTTTGGACGGAGGGAAGAGAAGAAGAAATAAATTCTTTTATTTAGTTATTGATTTTTTTTTT